GAGAAAGCTGATGTTGAGAATTAACTAGCATGATAATCTTATAATCGATTGTCGCAAACTTTATTGCTTCAAAAATTTACGTTGATTAGTTAATTTTACAGGGCGAAGAAGTTAAGTCCAAGAATAAAAATTGTGTTTAAGTATTCACGTATTCAACTTAATACACTGCGGTCAGATGGGTCTTTTGCGCCTCTCATTAGAAAATAAATGTTATTGCACTTATTTTCCCAGGCTTCAAAGCTTTCATCTCTCATACAGGCTTCAAAGCTTTCATCTCTCATACTGGAAAGGTCTGACTGACAAGCTAGAAAAGTCTCAGACTGATTAAAGCAAGACAATACTTCTGAATGTTCTCTGGAACTTAGTTGCTCTCAAAGCAGAAGCTGAACGTGCATCCTCTTCAATTGTGAGTTCGTAAAGGTGGTAATGTCCCTTAAGGAAGCCGAAGTAAGTTGTACCTTGTGATTAGATATTCCTTAGTATGAGTATTTTGGTACTTTTCCTCTCTTGCTCGCTGCGTTTCTTTATGAAAGATTTGGGTTTCTAGAACGGAAAGATGAGCCGCTTCCTGATTCGTTGAATCTTGCTTACCGGATTGCCACACCTGGCCTAGTTAAATAGTTCGTTAGAATCGACGCAATGCCATACAAGCTCAGATATGACCTTTATTTTGCCTCTCTCCATTACCCTTTACTTTCAAAGTGAATTGCATAACCCTTGCCGATCGTGCCCAAACATTTAATAACTTAATCGAGTCACACACACGCCCAGTAAGCCACCCAAGAAAGAAAGACACACACACATACTGACATTATTAACAATTACGTCACGAGCGTGGCTCACTTTTAACCCTAGAGATAATTTAATCAGCGCTACTTCAAGTAGGTAATGCTGTCCATAATAATACGACAATAAGAAAGGGAGCAAAACATGAGAATGGGAATCAGAATGAGAGTGAGTTTGAGGATGACGACGGGCAGGCAGCAGGCAGTCATGAGCTCATGTGTGAGATTTACGCGTTCGCCTTTCACTCGAGGCAACTGAAATCAAAGCGTAACAAATTGCGGGCACTCTCGACGAGCAGGGATAACACAGAGCCAGCGGCAGCGGCAGAGGGGCAGACAACTTTCACTGCACGGATTAGCAGGCACGTGACTTTTTTCCAATGCGAAACAGTCGGCACCGAAGGAACCTTTGTTTGCCCGTTCGAGTATTGAAAGCCGATTATATGTACGAGTATTTACACTTCATTATTATGTGCATGATGATGTTGATGGAGGACAATGGTCAACTGGTCAGCTGGTCAGCCGTCGTCCATCCATGCGCTCCGCTGGGCTACTTAATTATGTCACATTGGGCAAATTTATTAATTTTTTGTGCCTGGGCCGTGCAAATCGATTTGCTGTTATCAATATATCTATTAATATGCATTGGCATTGGGACGCCTTATTGACATGTGAAGGGTGTGGCCAATTTGCATGCTACTGACACGCGTCGCTCGTCTCGCGCAGATCAAAGAGATGACCGGCGGAATGGTGGGGCGGGCTGCCGGTTATGCAAATAAAAGTCAGCTTGTCAATAAATGTGCTTGGACATAGGTCAATGAGTGCTACTTAATCAATGTCAGCAGCGAGCAGCCTGGGAAGAACTCACTAAATGCCATTCTCCATGGCTGTCATAAAGGGACTGTCGAGGAGTAGATACACAGGGCGGCAGAACTGAATAACTAAGCAGCTGATTTAACATATTCAATGAAAAAAGGCGAGGACTTGTCGAGAATGTAATCGGTATAAGCTGCAAATAAATCAATGCTCTGTGACGGATAAAAACTTGATGGTTGATAGAATAGAATTGAGCTTAAATAGTTGCTAGTTCGAGTACCAGGCTAATGTATTAATTAAGCATTGACTTAGCCAGAGGTTCCTACCATGTGTCTATGATTTAAAAAAAAAAATACATTGTGTCTTAACGAAAGTTAGATCCCTACTTCGTGCTTAGTGTGCCGCAAAAAAGCCAATATTTATATAAAAATATGTTGCTTGATTTTAGCCCGCGATCTGCCGCTTGTTAGTCCAAGGCTCAAACTTTTATATATATAATAATGATCATTATTATTAGTATTTTTGGCTTCCAAATCCCACACTGTGCCAGCACTGTTGGTGTCTAATGATTAGCCAACTACCAAAATAGGTGGCATTGATATAATGACGGAGCCAGCAGCTAACAGCCGCAATGAACTGAGCTCAGCTGAACTTAGCTCAACTCACACTCAAACTCAACTCAACTCTTTGTCAAGCATTTTCAATTTCGTTAATGACCCAAAAGTGCCGTAAAGCAATTTATACACGGTCAGGAGGGCTACGTGCCCAAGAGCTGAGCCCAGCTCACTGACACAAGACAAATAATAGCGCAGCAGGACATTGACAACAACACCCGAGAAACGAGAGCCGAACGATGAAAATTGAGAAAATGGGGAAAACGGACAGACAGTCTATGGCAACTGGTCAGTAATTGACTGCCGCTGCTGCTGCCGCTGCCTTTGCCGTTGCAGTTGCAGTTGATGGTCGCTGGCTGTTGCCTGCTGGTCACTGGCCAAACGCCGATAATGAAGCGCAATTGTTGAACGTGGCAACAAATTTTTGGGAGCAACATACAAAGTGCAACTGCAACATGCGTTCGACTGTTCGATGGGGAGGGGGCGGTAATTAATCATATTCCTGGCACCAGTTGCCGTCTACCAATGACTTTTTTTATGGGCACTCATAAAGCATTGACGATATACCCTAGGTTATTTTCAGCTAATTTAAGGTGTTGCCTCCAGTGCAAGACGTAAATAAATCATTAATTTTGTTTGGCCAAACACTTGGAGACTTTTTACAAATGCATTTTGTAGAAAACGCATATATAAGTTTTTTTTTCTCTCTCATTCTGGGACCGCCTGCGGTTTTGTGGGTGTTGACACACGTTTAAACGCAGGGAAATAGTCTGAACCTGGGCAATGAATCACAAGATTAATGAAACGATAAGGTTTGAGCACTAAATGTCAATCCAGCAATCTGAAGAAGCCTTCGTTTCAAAGCACTACAAACAATTAACTCGGTCCCACCTACCGACAACCCAATCTACCCAAGTCCAACTCGACAGATAGCCCCAGAAAAAGCCATTGAGCTTCATTGCCAGTTGAGTTTTTCCGCCTTTGATATTTGATTTGCCTTTTCCGACTTACTTATGTGTCTAACTGCAAGTATCAGCATCTAGTAGAACTTCGTTTGTGGTCATATTGCGTTTCACTTTTGCTCCACTTTCAGTTTTTGCGTCAATTTGCGTTGGGGGCGTTGTTTGCTTAAGTCAAGAAACTGGGTCACTGCTGTGGCTCGGGGGCGTACATGTGCCTGGTGCCTGGGTTAGTGTACTTTCCAAACACAAAAAAAAATCAATAGACCCGCTTGTAATTAGCTTTTGACTTAAAGTGCATGCGAAGTTCCGCTACGACTTAGTTGGAGCTGGCTGTGACTCATTTCCACGGACAATAAACCCATTATTACAATCCATTGTTTTGGTTTATTAACATGCACACTCCCAACAGGACATTGAAAATATTGAAATTTTTATTTTTTTCTTTAATAACACAATCATCCTAAATCGTATTATAAATAAGCCAGGATTCTTTTGTACTATATTGTGAAATAAGATGTATTATCGTCTTCTTCGCCAAATGCTCAACCTGCAGAGTCAAATAATTTGTCCACTCTTCTTAGAAGGATTTTATTTCTATAATATCTCTAAGTAGAAAATATTTTCCCACCAAGTAGCCACCCCCTAACGACTCTGCGTTTGATCGAATAACTAAAAATTACTTTTAAAACTTTTTCGAGTTAATTAAATAATAAAATCTTAAATGCCTGAGCATAACCTCACATTACTTGTTGTGTTCATTTGAAGTTGGCCTCAAACATGTGTTACACAATTAACTACAAATATTTTATCATTAATTGCCTCACACATTCCCAGCATAATTGCCGGCGCTGAAAATTCAATCCCATACACGAGCATAACACGCGACAAAAAGTGGCAACATTTGCATACCCTACAATTTCCGAGTCGCTTATCGTTGCCAAAAATCAAGCCACACGCGAAAAACGAAAAGGTTACTTAAAAAAAAAAAACTGAGCATTTAACCCTAACCGGCAATAGTAAATGGGCCGCGGGTCAGCCGAAGGACCCTAATTTCCAGGTCGCTTGTTGTCATGTCACGACAATTAAATATGTTCAGTGCGCTTTTGCGCGATTTAAATTAAGATAATGCGGCAAATTAGCGACCCGAAATGTTTGCATAATTATTGTACAAAAATTTTGACTGTCCGAGTTATCAGCGAGCGTCGATCATTTGTCACAGATGTTACATTTGGGGTACGGCTCTGCTCTAGGGGGTGCGCGACCCTGATGACTCGAGCATTTCTCAGTTAACTTTGTTTTTCTCGGCTCTATCTTTTTTTTTGTGAACTGCGGTTGCTTTTAAGCAGCGTAACCTTTTAATTTAACCCTTGCCGCAACTTGTGGCATGACACCACAGAAATATGTTGTGCCAAAAAAATGTTTTCCCTTCAAGGTGACATATTGGTTTTGACGATAAGCATCGGTAAATGGTTGCCCTTATGGCATGTGGGCGATAGGGTTGACTCGGCTAGTAAAGGGTTCATGCACCGCCTGGACAAACATTTTCAGACGTCAAACAAAGGTGATATTTGTTTTACTTAAGAAAAATAAAATCTTTGATAGAAATTTGTTCTTTGTAAATATAAGTCCCATGATAAATCCAAAAGAAGGTCCTATATTTACGGTCCCAAAATAAGTTTATGGAAACGAATTTATAGCACAAACAAACTTAATGGAGCTCGCGATTCATGATTAAACATTCCATTTAATAAGCTTATGATCCTACGGCTTCATCTATATTAAGGTAGAGATTGGTTTGCAAAAATCAAAGCAAACATTGATAAATAGTTGAATTTAAAAGTAGGCATTTTATATCTATTTCGTAATTCCTAGAATGATCTAGAGAGCGAAGGGATGGATGCTAGGGAGAGAACTGAGGATGTGAACCTTCAGAAGTTGTCCAATATGCAAAGTGACATGGAAGAAAATGCTAATGGAACCGTATATACCGCGCTCCCACCATCTGGTGTATACACAGATGTGAATGTTGTGGAGTAAGTGGATTTATTATATAAAGAAATTTCTTAATTTATATGTTGAACTTATAATATTTTAGCTACAAACATTCCAATTTCTGTACTAATGAATGTAAGTAATTTTGTATTGATTTATATGATGATTTCCAAACTGATTAAATTATTCGCACAGATCGAAGACAAAACGCCAGCTATGAGCAGAATCATCTTGACAAAAGCAAAGAAGGTGCCTTCGGCTACTGTAACTATGCTCCATCCCAGGCTTTCACTGGAAATTGCGAATCTGATTTCTGTGACTGTCCAACTACTAGCAAAAAGGCAGCTAGTCAAAATTATGCAGTCGACTCTTGCTGCTGTGACCCAAACCAGCCAGAGTTTCAATATACCAATCTAGGCAATATAACAAATAACTTAAATATAGATCGTAATACTGCTGGAATGGTTGGCTTCGACCCAGACCGTAATATGACTTCATCTTTGGACGGTCAAGAATATGATGGGCTACACAATGCGAATCAAAGTGCACAGACATTTTATTCAGACCCTTCATTGATGTCTTATCATGGAATGATGAATACAGATCAGTTAAATGATTGCCCCTTCCACAACATGGACGGTTATAGCGGTGACTTTTCATTTTCGGGTGGAAGGGGCAATAATTTTAATCATTTCCCAAATGGAACTCTCATGGACATACATATGCCTGGAGCCATGCCTAAATCAAGTCCTTTCTATGGTGCAGAATCGCCGTCACAAGGCGACAATTATGATGTCGGCGGGTTATTTCCCGATGTGTGTGGCACCCAGCAGAGCGAGTTTTACGGTTTAGGAAACGGACACGCTATGCACGCTCTGCACGGGCTGCCCTACCCAACGTGCCAAACAAACTAGTTCCAGCAGATACACAAGTGTTAATTGTTAGATCAGTAGCGATTTGTTAACTACGGAAATTAATAGCCTATAGTTAAGAAAGATATAAGGACATGTAAGAAAAACACAGAATAAATTCAACAATTATCAAAAAATTTAATAAACTGTTTTTATATCATAAAAATTTAAATGAAGAATTGTCGAAAAAATCATTAACTTTTAATAAAATAAAAGACCACTTTTTTGAGACAATTCTTATATCATCTCAAAAATAAAATTTAAATCCTGTAAAGATTTCATCCCGAAAAGCTATAGAAAACCACATTTAATGTTTTCTATAACTTGAATTGAAGACAAATATTTTTTCGGTTATATTGGTTTTTTTTATAAAATTGTATTTATTTTTGAATGTCTTATAAAAAAGTTGTGTAATTTGCTTACAAATTTGTTGCAAGCTTTTTACATTTGATTAATTTTTTTTGCTGCGTACACAAAATGCCCAAAAAAAAAACAGAAATAATATCGTTTGTAATTTTGCTAAAGTCAATAATAATCGTAAAATATGTTTAATATTTTTTTTCTTGTAATTGTATCAAAATTGCTTAAATTATGAAATTTGTATTTTATTTTTTTGCTTTCGTGAGTTTTTTACTTTGTTTTACTGTTGAGTTCTTTGCGGTTCGGCGGATTTTGCTTTTTCGTAATTTTTTTTAGTTTATTGACACCCATTTTCTGTTTTTTTTTTTTTCGTTTGTTATCCTTTGTATATATAAAAATTGTCTGCTTAGAAACTATTTTGTACAATGTAGTTGTTTCTTTGTTGTATTTCATTTGTTACATTTTGTTGGTTCAGTAAGAATATCATAATTTAGTATTTGACTTTTATGTGGGGTACATTTATATTTTACGCTAGTAGAAATGCTAAAATTTGACATATAGTTGCATATACTTAGTAATATGTGTGGCATATGTACTTTAATGTATATATGATAGTGTTTAGTGTTGTTTTGACTGTTTAGTTGTAGACACAGATTCTAATTAGTTAAATGGCTATATTTTAGGTTTTTGGTTTTAAATGAAAATTTGTAAATGAACGAGTCCTGCAGCTACGCCTATTTGAACCAACTTTTACAACCCGAAACCTTTTACATCTGAAACTTAGGCTTACAAAATGCTCACTGCTCAGCTCTTCCCCTCTCTCTCTATCTCTCTCGGCCTTGCCTTCTGGCAAAGTTTACTACAAAAATTTGACACCAAAAAGTACCAATAAAATATTATATCACTTTCAGCAAATCGATGACAAATTTTGAATTTTCTTAAAAATCGTTTAAATACACAAATATAAAATACATTTCGTTAGCACTTTCAACTTTACAAACTCCTCTCAACCATCTTCAAACTCCATAATCCCAAAAAATCACAATGCGCTTTGATTGAGCTGCCACCAAAATAACTGTACAATAGTCAGTTGTGTGTAGTCTTAGCGTCTCCTAATCAAATATCTACTCCCGTCGCTTCGCGGTCGCATCAGTCACATCTCCAACGCCATCTGCATCTTCTATATTTGCATCTGCATCGCTTGTGTTGCTGCTGATCTCGAACGAGATTTGAATGACCGTCGGCCTGCGCTGTGCGGGATTGTAGCTGTAGAGGCGCAAGGCATAGCAAAAGATTTGGGCCAACAGCTCCCAGCAGCCGAACTCCGACATGGACATGGCACCCTGTTCGCGTCCCAGCGGCACCGATATGTTGGCGCGAAATTGTGTGTTGCCGGTGCGATGTTGTCGTTGTTGTTGTTGTTGTTGCTGCTGCCGATGCTGCTGCTGTTGTCGGGACTCGTTATGCCTGGGATTCGCTGGACTAGAGCCGACGCTGCCTGTCGCTTGTTGCGCACTTTGTTGCCTGCTTCTGGCCAACAGTTGCGCCTGATCGGGTATAAAGTAAGCAATTGCCATTGTCTTGTGTTTTTTTTTTTTTTTTGATTTATCAAAAAACTAAAAATGTTCACTTATTGCACTTGTTGTCTATTTGCAAAGCAGTTTAATTGAAGTCTTCAGAAAATTTGCACTTCTGTGAGTTTTCACCAAAACATATCTGATTTGGCGCCAAAACGGAAACTTTGCGATTTTAGCTTTTGGTTTTTACGTGTATGGAAAGTACTTTAAAACAATATGCCGTATACGAGCTGCTCTTGCGTCTGTTGCTGCCTTTTCCAAGGTTCTGCGTGGACTGACTGTAAATATCCTTGCCGCAGTCACTTTTATAAAATAGCTGCGCCGGGCAGCAACGACGACGACGACGACGGCGACAGCGGCTCTCGTGCTTCCTAGGAAGCAACACGGCGCTCGCTCGGGCAAATGTCACCCCCCCGTGCACACAGACACACACAGGCAGCGGTGTGTGGATGGAGTGTGTGTGCTTTGTTTATGCCAACAACCAACCAATTGAACCACCAACCACAGCCACTCACACCACAAACTCTGACGGTGCCGGGCACAGTTCCATTGCCACCCCAAAAAAGTCACAGTCACGGCTGGGCTTTGGCTTTGTTACCTTTCGCGAGAGAATAAGCCAGAGAGAACGCGAGAGCGAGCAAACAAAAAGCAGCTCTCGAGCGAATGAGCGTATTACGTTACGTTCGCTTACGTTAGACGTAAAGAAATGTCAAAAGAAGGGTGATTAACACGATTTTCGAATTAGGGGCATCTTTCACATGGTGCTCTATGGGCTTGTCAGGGCAAGCACTCAAATGAGGGGAATATATTCGAAGTTCGAATTGATTTCGAATGCTTGTCAGTAATTTCTTGCTTGGGAATCAACAATTGTTAGTTGCTTGCATTTTCCCCTTTGACTTAGGATGTATGTATTTAAAAATTTTATAAATAAATAAGAAATAATGGCATGCACGCATTTTACTTCTTAATAATACCCTTTTTCCTCCTATTGATTTTAGTAAACTTTAACTTAGCTAAGACGTCCTCAACTTGCCTTGTATAATGCTTAATATGAAAGATTAGGGAGAAAACATCCAACCTCCTTTAACTTCACACCCATTGCAACGTTTTTTCAACTCGTTACGCTTGCCATTTAAACTTGGAGCTCCCAAACCTTCAACTTGGCCCGCGTAACACACCCATTCAAACCAACGGGAATCCAAGTTTAGCCTTGAAACAAACTGTTCCGGCTCCAGCAAACATTTTCCACTGGCCTTGATGTCCCCCATGTTACAGAGAGTTGGCTCATCCATTATGATAAACCACTTCCTGCTAGTTGGCAGTCCACACACTAAAACAAATGGCATTTCGAGTTGTTACAATTTAAAAAGAGGAAAGAAATATTGTCAGCGGTATGCCGAAGATTTAATACACTTGTTTAAGTACATTTTAAAATTGTCTGATTTTAAGTATATCTGAAAAACTTCTAACAGGATATAGATTAATGCAAGTCTTGTCAAACAGCTGAGAGCTCACATATTGAGAACTTATTTGCGACTTTTATTTATCACGAAGAGTGTTTTATATAATTTAATTTTGAACCTCGACAAACAATGTATGAATTGTAACTCACTTGATAAAATGTCAATAACTTTCCTTTTTCTTATAATCAGAAAGATATGCATATATGATATATATATCTGATTGCAACTGTCTTGCAAACTGCACGACAAATTAATAATACCCTCGGCACAAAATATGTATATATAAAAATGCCAAACGAGCTTTTTGCCGCTTGTTGCTTGTTGCTAGGGGCGCTCCACGATTCAATGTCAGTGCCAAGGCCAAGTGGCTGCCATTTGTGGTAAATGGCACATAGCAAATTTGCCTCCTCCAAAGCTTTGCTGAATTTGTTTCAAGGACACGCCGGCCGGCAACGAGCGTCCCTTCAAATTTCCTTTTTGTGCGTGTGGCCTTGACAGTGAAAATCGTTTAGGGCGCGCTCCCTACTGGGTTGCTGCGTGGGCGGCTCTAAGCATTTGATTTTGACACAGTTGATAGCACGTGCTTTTTATGTTGGCTATAACAAAGCTGTCAAGGTCGTTGGGTATTGATTAAATGTGCAAAGAGTTGTGTGTACAAAGGCAAAAAGGTGTTGTTTGCAAACGGGAGAATGTCTTTAAGTCAGCTTTTGGCTTTAAAGATGCATTCATTATTTATTTATCAGCTATAATTTCTTCTGCACAGTTTACCATATCAATATATCCCACCTGCTGCAACTCAACATTAACTGAAGAGTTTAATCTGCGCCCAAACTAGCTGCCTGCCGCTTGCAACTTGCAACTTGCAACGCTGCTTATCAGCAATAAGCAGCTGCCGCAGCTGTTAACTGCACTTGAAGCTCATTAAAAATTTGCAGCAGCCAAGTTGGCAGTTATTTGCGTAACGCCAGGGAAACTGCAATAAAAGTGCGCTCAGCATATGAAAAGCTGCCACACACGACGGCAATGAAATCCAAAAGTGCACTTTACACATTTGTGCGTAATGATTTTCCATTAACGTAAATTTGAATTAACAGCGGAATGAAGAGTATAAACGTAATTACAAGAATGCCAATGTTAAAACAACACGCGCCACCCACACTACCCACGAGCCTACCGACGAGCCGGTGGTCGGCTTTGCTCAGGCAATTGATAAATGCCAATGACTACCCTCTCAGGTCCACAGTTGAATACTCAATCCTTTGGCCGTCTCCTGTGCTGGCACGGGGGCCTGGTTCGAGCCTGATTGTCACACAAAATGTTGCGGCTGCTGACATGAACTTCTCCACTCCCAACTCGGCTTGCTAGGGATTCTTCTGGCCCCACTCCCACCGCCCGGCTGCTGTTTATGGTAATTATTTATTTTGGACAGCCGTTGCCGCATTTGTATAGACTTTTCATCATTGCCATAAACATAAAATTTTATGTTAATGATCCTCTCTTCTGTTGGTTGGTTATGTTGCTTTTGTTATTGCTCTGTCTGTTTCATATTGCATTTGTTGCTCTTAATGTGCTTCGCCCACTGGGTGGAGTCAGAGGTTGCTGTGATATGGTGAGAAGTGGATACTTCGCATTGAATATTCATTGGCATTTCGAAATTTGAAGAGTTTTAATGAAAGTCTTAGTCGATTTAAGCAAGGCGAAAAGTCTGTTAACGCTTGCAGATCTTAAATGAGATGTGCTCAGAAAGTAATGGAAGCTGCACGGATTATATTGAATAACTATAAATGGTTTAATAAAAAATGCCTTGATGATATATATGTATATAAGAAATAATTAGTCAGCTTATGATACAACGGATTTTAACTGACTTAGCAAAGTTTTCTCATAGAGATCCTAACAAGCCAGAAGAGCTGGTAATTTTGCTTCTTAAATTTGATTTATAAGCGATTTAAAAGTTTTTCTACTATTTCAATAAGTCAGCATATAGAAAAACCACATGTTATGTGTGCTATACATATTTCATGAAATTAAAGCTTTTCATTTATTATCTTTCTGGTTGCCTAGTGAATTGATTTTGAGACAGATGTGTATATGCGTATTCATCAGCTTTCGAATTGCTGTTGCCACAATGAGCATTGCGTTTATTGACGGACACCATGAAGCATGGTTTATAATTTGAAATATCAAGAAATTTTCTTTACTTGCAACTTTACCCCAGAGCCAAGCTATGTTCATGCAATATCCCTTACTCCACATATGCTACGCAGCACTTGAGCCCCTCGGCTCGAGACCTAAAGAGTCCCAATTGTGCCGCTGTGTGTAACTACTTAAGCCTCATCATCCGCGTTTTAATGCCCACCAGCCAATGCCAGTTCAGCTCACAGTCAGCAACAACAAGTTCATTGTGTGCCCAGCTCTATAAGGACCACAACTTTCCAGCAACAACAACAACACCAACAACAACACACGCTCACAGATACACATATACAAACACACACTTTCACTGTGCTGTGCAATTATTTCATGCATTGTTCAAGGATTGTTCGACTGCTTTTTGCAAAAATTTTCTTTGTATAATGTGGAAGGCAAAGTGTTGTCAGGGGATTTACGCGTTCACAATGAAGAGGCCAGCAACAGGACGACTAGCAGGACCTGGACCGGAGAACCAACGGAAATGGTAACAATGCGCACCAGCCTGTCCGAACGGAAAACAATTGACCAAGGGTTGGGCCGAGAGGATTACGCATCAGTTTACAAGATGCGCTCGGCACTTAATGATTTCCACTTATGCATTGCAGACATCATGCCCACGACCATGCCCATGCCCATGCCCATGCCATTGCACATAGAGAAACTCATATTCGATGATGGTTAGCCATTTTCCAAAGTGCATCCAGAGGCCCATCAAGTGTCACTCATTCTACCATATTGTGGCCTGATGCTGGCACACGGACTTGCTATCCTTTTGCTAATCTATATGTAAATTTTGCACAACAGACAAGATACTTAGGGGCCAGATAACAAGCGTAAGCTAACAAGAGTTCGATAGCCTGTCAACACATCGAATCATTTATACTCTGTATCAAGATAATGAGTAGATGGCAAAACTCTACGACAAGCAGGGTATTATGATTTTGTATTTGAGCTGAGCCTTCATGTTCGGATATCTGCTGACCAATACTCAAAGAAAAAAAGGTACACGTACTCGACATATCATAAGATACCCTTCTTATTAAAGATATATTTAGCAACAGTCGCAGCCATCGTTTGCAGATGACGTCATGTAAAGTGTTTGACAAATGGCTTTAAAAGACAAAACGCGTTGGGTCTAAGACAAAAAAAGCTGACAACATACTAAAAAGTTGACAAAGTGTTGGCAAGTGTCAGGCCCAGGACGAAGACCAGACCAAGGCACGCACATCCTTGCTGCCGTTTTGCATATGTGTCGACTGCTGTCTAAGTGTGCGTAAAAGATAAATAATCATGTGATATCATCAGCATGACGAGGCGATGGCGCTGGAAGCGTTGAAGCGACTC